GTTAATAAATGAACAGAACAAAAGAAACAGCTGGACATTTGTTGTTAGAATCTCATCCCAACACTTTTAAAGAAAAGACACAAACGTAATGACTTCGCTTTCTTGAGAACAAAAAACGACATACATTTCTTCATCTCATTCTCACCGACAAGTAACAAAACATCTCTAATCCGATCAAATTATACAGATGTTTTAATCAATATAGAAATTATTGAGGTTATCATTAACAAAAGCACATGTTGCATGAGATGAGAAAAACAAAAAAAATACATGTCGAATTAGTTTCCGAAAATTAAGAAAAATAACCTAGATTAAAGTGTTCAAGTCATTTTGATATTTTTTAGTAGTGAACTAATTAGTTTAATTAATAACATAAAATGGTAAAAAAGAACACTAACAAGTAATATGATTTTTGTGTATATTTTTCATTTTACCGTATTTAATAGTTACACACGAAATAATATTCGTCAACATGTGATTTGTTATTAGAAATTTTTTGAGAATGCGCCACTTTTTCAAAATTATTTATTATTATATCATTTATGTTTGGGTTAACTTTGACGTTTCATTGAATTTTCTAATTTTTTTTTTAATAATTAAAAAAAACTCTGCATTTTTACCATCCAACTTATATTTTAGAATCCTCTATATATTAATTGAGGAGACACTATGTGAAAAATAATATGTGGCACTAAATGAGAATTTTAAGGGACATTTCAATAAAGTTAACGAATCAAAACATTCTAATTAATTATATATGTCATGTTGGAAATCTCTATATATTTACATTTATTTTTTTCATTACTTTACAAATACATATGTTACTAATTTAAATCCAATTAAAATATAACATTTTAATATCTAAACATTATATAACGTAATGTTTTAACGATGAATCATATACATATGTTAATTACTTTATAAAAGTTGCATTTATGTCTATTTGGATATCATATGTGATTGATCATACAATTATTTTCTTTTATATCGTTTAATTGTATCTATAGTACTCTAATTAAAATTACGTTTTTGTTATAAACGTACATTTTTACAAATAAAATATTAATGGTTGAATTTTGAAAATCATCAT